TAGTTTACATTCCCATTGCTTGTGTATGAGAAGCTGTCTTTCCCCATACCTTTGTCAGTGTTGACTTTTAACACTTAAAAGAAAATTTCTAATTTGATATAAAAATAGATTCTTTATTCTTTCGGTTTCCATTTCTTTGATTGCCACCAAGATGGAACTTTGTTTTGATGTTTATTGGCCTTTTGTAATTTTGCTGTATACATTGTATATCTCATTGTTTTATGAGTTTTTCTTTTTTCCTTACTCTTCATTCTATTTTTCAAAGATCTTATTTATTTATTTATTTATTTATTTATTTATTTGAGAGAGAGAGTGAGTGAGTACACAAGCAGGTGGAGCAGCAGGCAGAGAAAGAGGGAGAAACAGACTCCCCACTGAGCAGGGAGCCTGACGTGGGGCTCCATCCCAGGACTCTGGCATCACGACCTGAGCCAAAGGCAGACAGTTAACTGATTAAGCCACCCAGGTGCCCCTTTCCTTACTCTTTATTTTTTTTTTAATTTTATTTTTTTTAAAGATTTTTATTTATTTGACAGAGTAGGCAGAGAGGCAGGCAGAGAGAGGAAGAAGCAGGCCCCCGGCTAAGCAGAGAGCCCTATGCGGGGCTCGATCCCAGAACCCTGGGATCATGACCCGAGCCGAAGGCAGAGGCCCTAACCCACTGAGCCACCCAGGTGCCCCTCCTTACTCTTTAATAAGAAGTCTTTTATCCATTAGATGCATCTACTTACTCCTTGATGTATAAATCAAAAATACTTTTCCTAGATTGTCTGTCATTTAATTTTATTTGTATTTTGGATAGAGAGATTGTTGTCTTTCTGTGACCAGACTTACCCAGTTTTGTCCTTTGTGGTTTGTGTTTTTTTGCATGTTGCTTAGAAAAGCCTATCCTATCCCTAAAGTCAATTATTTCTTAGTATTTTATTTTGTGGTTTCATTTTTTATATTTAAACCTTTAACTAGTTTAGATTTATTTTGGTATGTGGTGTGAGGTAGGAATCTCACTAAGTGTTTTTCTCCAGGTAGTTAAGCAACAGTTCCAACATAATTTATAAATACTTAATTTTTTATGACTAGGGATGCCAATTTTATCACATATTAAATTCTTTTATTTCTCTCAGGGGATTGGGAATCTCTAAAATCAAAAGCCAGAGTTAAATTTCCTTTTAATATGTAAAGTTGTTGTTGAGGTTTTCCTAGCCACACTCCTTTGATTTTTTTTTTTTTTTATTTGACAGACAGAGATCATAAGGAGGTGGAGAGGCAGGCAGAGAGAGGGAGAGGAGGAAGTGGACTCCCCACTGAGCAGAGAGCCCGATGTAGGGCATGATCCCAGGACCCTGGGATCATGACCTGAGCTGAAGGCAGAGGCTTAACCCACTGAGCCACCCAGGCGCCCCTCCTTTGATGTTTTTATCTGTTACTTACAGAATGGTAGTTACTCTCTTCATGACACCTCTCTCCTCTATTCCAGATATGTATGCCTACTTTCTCTTTGGGTATTTGAAAACTAAATGTATCTTTTTTCTCCCTAAACCAGTGTTCCCCTTCTCTCTAAAGGTTGCTGTCATCACTCAAGCCCCAAAACAGCAAATTATCTTGACTTCTCCCCCTCCCTCACACCTCCACCCAATATTCGTCCAATCCTATGGATTCTGTCTCTTAGTTGGTCCAGTCTACTTACTGGACTTCTGAAACAACCTCCCAGTGGGGCCTTCTAGCCTTCACCTTGCCTCCCCACCTTCCACCATTCATACACAGTGTCCCTCTTTGCTATGGGCAGAAGGATGTGTTTTTTTGTTAACAGCAGATACGCTCGTGTCACTTTTTTCCCCCCAAACCTTTTCATATTCCTTTATGGCTTTCTACTCACTTAAAATAGTTCACAGGTTGTATTTGATCTGGCTTTTGCTTGCTTCAGTCTTCATGTCTTATTTTTGGTGCTTAATACTTTGTCTAACTGGATCTTTTTCATATTTCCAAAGTACTGAGCTCGTTTCCTTTTGTATATTGTTTCATATCTCTGGTCTGTTCTTTTCTATCTTCACCTGTTTCCTATTTACCTTTTTTTTTCCAGGAAGGCTTTCTTGCTGAGACTACATTAGGTCCCCGTTTCTCTACATTCCCGCATCCCATATTTCCACTTTTATAATTTCCATAATTGTAACTACACTTTAATGTCATTGTCCAACTGTAATGTAAGTTCTAGGCAGGTGGGGGCGTGTCTGACTTTGTCCACTAACTCTGATTATAGTGAAACCCTACTCTACTAAATGGTTTTCTGTATGATTGTGTGGTGGGTTCTTTTTACACTTAGAGGTTGGGGAGGGGCAGAGGGAGACGGAGACAGAGGATCTTAAGCAGCCTCCACTTTGGGCTGGATGCGGGACTCCATCCCACAACCCTGAGATCATGATCTGAATTGAAATCGAGTTGGATGCTTAACCCACTGAGCCACCCGGGAGCCTCCCAGATAGGATCCTCCTAAACCTTTAAAACTCAACACAGAGGCGCAGACTTTGATAGAGAAGCCCATAGTACCAGCCTTATTACGTATGTACTTCAGCAGACTCACGCTGTTCTAATTACCTTCTGAGCTCTTGATTATGGTAAAATCATCTTTCTGTCTTCCTTTTTCCTTGTAATAATGCTGCTGATTCTGCTTCTCAATTCAGGGTTATATGGAGAGACATTTTTGGATGAACAGTTGTGATTTAACATTCCAAACTTCAGAATCTCTGTATTATTTTTTGTAACTTTCTTTTAAGTCAAAAATTATTTCACAGTATAAGTGTTTTTTGTTTTGTTTTGTTTTTTAAGTAGGTTCCACACCTAGCATGGAGCCCAATGTGGGGCTTGAACTCATGACCCTGAGATCAAGACCTGAGCTGAGATCAGGAGTCGGATGCTTAACTGCCTGAGCCACCCGGGCGCCTCTTTTTTCTTTTTTAGACTGCAGCCTATACTCTTTTTTTTTTTTTTTTAAAGATTTTATTTATTTATTTGACAGACAGAGATCACAAATAGGCAGAGAGGCAGGCAGAGAGAGAGGAAGGGAAGCAGGCTCCCTGGTGAGAAGAGAGCCCGATGCAGGGCTCCATCCCAGGACCCTGGGATATGACCTGAGCCGAAGGCAGAGGCTTTAACCCACCGAGCCACCCAGGCACCCCTGCAGCCTACACTCTTAACGTTGAGCTGTGCCTGAAGAAAAACTGTTTAGTTGATCTGACATCTAGAAGACTGGGCAGTCAGTGTATCTCTAAGTTGTACAAATAGAGTTCCCTAACTACTGTCCAGCTCCTTGGCAGATAGTGAAGATGGGTGGACCAAACTTATTGCATTAGCCTTGCTATGAGTCCACTTCCCCATGCAACTTCTTCTTCTTCTTCTTTTTTTTTTTTTTTAAGATTTTATTTATTTGAGAGAGAGAGAGAGAGAGAGAGAGTGTAAAAACCGGGGAGGGGCAGAGGGAGAGGGAGAAGCTGATTCCATGCTTAGCAGGGATCCTGATGCAGGGCTTGATCCCAGGACCCAAGGACCATGACCTGAGCCAAAATCAAGAGGCGGATGCTTAACCAACTGAGCCACACATATGTCCCTACCAATGCAACTTTTGATTGTGTTCATTGGCCTTTCATATTGATTGTTGTATAAAGACATGAATACTTGTATCTACTTGATAGGTAGCTTTATCATTATAAATAGCATTCTGATTTATCCATCCAGCACTTGAGTGTTTGCTGATATATCACTCTGGCTATCACTTTTTACACAGCTGACAAATGGAATTGGTGAAGCTAGGAGGCTGGAAGCCAACCGTGCAGTCACACTGCTATCTGAACAGATGTTGTGTGAATTATTAGATAGTATCCCTAGGCAACAATTCTTTGTCCTTTTCCTGTTTACTGGGACAGTGATATCCCCTTCCCCACCTTTTTTCCCCCCTATGAGCAGGGCTCCCAGTTTTCCAACTCTGAAGTGTTTTCCAGTCGAAACAAAGAGAAGGTTTGTGGATGTTGAATATGCAAGGAGCTGAAGAGAGAGTGCTTGGAAGAGAGGTTTGTCCAGGTGAGTGAGTAAGGAAAAAACCAGTGGGAGAAAAAGCAGGGCTTTGGAAATTTTACAAGAGAAACTGATTGAAACTCGGGAAATATAATTATCCTCCTTTTAGGGATGTTGGAGGGCAGATGTGGGTGAGCATCTCCAGGGGCCAACTTTTCCCCAATATTCATTTTGTCTCATTTCCAGCATTTGCTTTTACATTCATTCTCCCACTGTCGACTCTGAATACAAACCACCCATGTTTCTTCTTTAACCTAATCCTAGCTTTCTGCTGTTTGTTATTTTCCCTTTATTTGTATTGTCTCTGGTTCTGTGGCTTCCTAAATGTCTGTAAGTGCCCATTCCTTGGGGTTCCTTATTAATGGTGAACTCCACCCTGATACAGATCTCTTCTAGCACTTGTAATTGAGTTATGTGCTCTACTTGCTTTTATTGGGCCTTGTTTATATGCCACATATTGACATATGTTAGAGTTAGGCCCCTGTAACCTCAGGGGCTTCCATTCTGTCCTGTGTAAGAAATACCCACTCTGTTGTTTTCTTTCAGGTTTGATGGAAAAGTCTGTTCCAGAGGAGGATGTCTCTGAAATTGATTCACCAGGGAGAGTAGCAAAGAGATTACCAGAGGATGCAAACCAGGGTTCTGTATTTGAAAAAAAATACACATGTGAAAGCATGAAGGAAAACCCTTCTGGAGAGGTTCCCAGACCATGCCTTTTCCAGGAAGGAGGTTTTGAGGAAATAACTTTTATCCACAAGGAAGCATCTCCTGAAACAATTAGCCAAGAATATGATTTTGAGAGAAGCTTGCTCTTGACCTCCAGCTTTGTTACACATCTTAGGGTTTCTACAGAAGAGAGCCTACATCAGTGGGAGACAAGTAGTATACACACTGATGAGATTTCAGACCAAAGTAAATGCCCAGCTCTCTCTACTCAGAAAAAGTCTTGGGAATGTAATGAATGTGGAAAAACTTTTACTCAGAGCTCATCCCTTACCCAGCATCAGAGGACTCATACTGGAGAGAGACCCTATGCATGTGAGGAATGTGGGAAAGCCTTTAGTCGCAGTTCCTTCCTCGTTCAGCATCAAAGAATTCACACCGGAGTAAAACCATATGGATGTGAGCAGTGTGGGAAAACATTTCGATGTCGATCATTTCTTACTCAGCATCAGAGAATCCATACTGGAGAGAAACCTTATAAATGTAGTGAATGTGGGAATTCCTTCCGCAATCATTCGCATCTCACTGAACATCAGAGAATTCACACTGGAGAGAAACCGTACAAATGTAATAGATGTGGGAAGGCATTTAATCAGAACACACACCTCATTCATCATCAGAGGATTCACACTGGTGAGAAACCTTATTTATGCAATGAATGTGGCTCTTCTTTTCGCAAACATTCAAATCTCACACAACATCAGAGAATTCACACTGGGGATAAACCCCATAAATGTGATGAGTGTGGGAAAACTTTCCAAACAAAGGCAAACCTCTCTCAGCATCAGAGAATTCATACTGGAGAGAAACCCTATAAATGTAAGGAGTGTGGCAAAGCCTTTTGTCAGAGCCCATCCCTTATTAAACACCAGAGAATTCATACTGGAGAAAAACCCTATAAATGTAAGGAATGTGGCAAAGCTTTTACTCAGAGTACCCCACTCACTAAGCATCAGAGAATTCATACAGGGGAGAGACCCTACAAATGCAGTGAATGTGGTAAAGCCTTCATTCAGAGCATTTGCCTCATTCGGCATCAGAGAAGTCACACTGGAGAAAAACCCTATAAATGCAATGAATGTGGGAAGGGCTTTAATCAGAATACCTGCCTCACTCAGCATATGAGAATTCATACTGGAGAGAAACCCTATAAATGTAAAGAATGTGGGAAGGCCTTTGCCCATAGCTCATCTCTTACTGAACATCACAGAACTCACACTGGTGAGAAGCTCTATAAATGTAGTGAATGTGAGAAAACTTTCCGCAAGTATGCACACCTTAGTGAACATTACAGGATTCATACTGGTGAGAAGCCTTACGAATGCATTGAATGTGGAAAATTCTTCAGACATAGTTCAGTCCTTTTCAGACATCAGAAACTTCACAATGGTGAATAACCCTGGCATTCAGGTTGGGATAGCTTCTCTAGAAAGAGTGGCTGGGAATCTGTCTGGGGGCAGTGGGGCAGGCAGAGTTCCTGGAGGGAAGGATGAAGGAACACCGACTGTTACACTCGGAAGAGTATTTCCACTTATGGAGGCAGGAGCTTGGAGAATGTAGAGCCTACTCCAGCTGGGCATCTGGGAATATAGGGTAGAAAGGAATTTCTTGCTTTTCGGATAAATCCTGGCTACCTACCACTCCTCCTTCCCCTTGTGACTCTCATGATTTTAGGGGCCATTTGCTAAGTTAGCACCTGTATTTCCCTTACTGCATTCCTGCCCCACCTTCCCAACTTGTGACCTGTGTTCTCTGGCCAGTAGGCTGAGGTGCTTTTCCAAATATTCAGTGTGCATGTGGAAGCAATTCTGAGGTAGTGCTAAGTAGCCTTCTGATATCTGAGAACATGCCATCTGTTAGAAGCGGTCTCATGAAGGGGCATTGGAAATAAGGGAAAACGAAGAATCCTTATTCATTCAACAAATAAGAGGATATGTGGCAAGAACTGGGCTGATGTCTACAGATAGTTCGTGAAGAAGGCTTTTATCAGGGTAAGAGAGATCTTTCCTGATCCTTTCAAGCTGGAAGGCAATTTGGGGCCAAAAAGGAAGTAGGAGGTCAAGAGAAACTTAACGTTAAATGGTGCCAGTTTGTGGGAAGAGAGTCAGATCTGCTCAGAGGGTCAGGAAGAGGAAGGGCCAACCTTTGTCCCAGAGGAACACTCACCCATGAGGAAAATGGTTTGCGCTAGACTGCTGGTGCCGAGGCTCAGAGCAGGAAGTCTGTGAGCAGATGACCTACATATCCCAGCCCTGGACTAAGGTGTACACCTGTCTCATAAGTTTGCCTGGGCCACTGGTTTGTAGGGTCCAGGGGAGAGAGACCCACCAGGGTTAACTATGTCCAAACAACTGTTAATTGATGTTTAGGGAGGAGAAACCATTAGTGAAGAGAGCAGTCAGCTTTTTAGGTTGGCCGGAGTTGGGGCAGCTGGACTAGTCCCTAAGAGAGTGTTGGTCATTGTAGCAGGGAGGGCTACGTTTCATGTAATTATGCCATTGGAGGCTTTAAACAAATTTGTTAGATTTCAGATACTCCTGTTTTTATTGGAACTATCTTATTCTTGGATATTTACCCTTCCCTGCAGGTTAGGAGTATCTAGGGAAAGACTTTCATGGAATACATTTGGAAAGTATTCTACCTCTTTTTCAAGTCCCTGAGTATTGAGATAGTACAGTTTGCCACTATGATGGTGTTTTATTCTTTTAAGAAAAAGGGCATGGTTTCCCCCTTTATTTCCTTATTCGCTTTCATGTTCTTTACTGCTACCCAAAGTTTGAGCTCTGAGAGATTAGGTGAGGATCACCTTTCACGGCTATTTGGAATAGTTTCTATGCCCTGAAGCTTATATCGTTTTTAAAATAATGACTGTTAAAAAAACAAAGTCAGTTGATTCTGGAATGGTTGGTTATTTAGAACTCAGCATTAATTTTTTTCCAGAACAGCTATCTTGTAAGCAGTGGTATTAATTACCATTAAGCTATTAATGAGCTATTAATTACCATTAATAGGAACATGGCAGAAACAGCACTCTCTCCCTCTGCAGCTGTGAAGATTCTATTCCCAAAACCTGCCACAGGGCAGTTCATAACCGAGTAAATTAATACCCTATGGACAAAAATAACCCTGTTAGAATTTTTTGTTCATGAAAAAATTATAGTACTTAAAGGAGATACTGATGTATTTGTACTTTCTTTGTTTTTTTTTTTTTTAAAGATTTTATTTATTTATTTGAGAGAGAGAGAGAGAACATGAGAAGGGAGAGGGTCAGAGGGAGAAGCAGACTCCCTGCCAAGCAGGGAGCCCGATGCGGGACTCGATCCCGGGACTCCAGGATCATGACCTGAGCCGAAGGCAGTCGCTTAACCAACTGAGCTACCCAGGTGCCCGTATTTGTACTTTCTAAATGAAAATGACACTAGAGAATCCATTGCTGGCCCATAGGAAATATTAAATAAATATTTGTTAAATATATTTTAATCAACCTGTACCCACCAGAAACTTTAGCAACTTCCTGATATGTAGGTATTTAGCGTAATATTTATACAGTACTCTAAATAAATACTTATTTAGAGTTCTTGAGTTGAGATTAGAGTTGGGAGTATTTTCTTAAGGAAGAAATGGGACCTCTAAGGATGAATGATATCTCCAAGGTCTTGTTTGGAGATTTTATAAAAATCCAAAAATGTCTTAATACTCAGGTTAAGAGTCTGATACCATTTTCACTTCCTGGGAAAACAGGAAGGAAGAGAATTTGTCATCTTGCTTCTGTCCTCATCCTGTAGTCTCATACTGTCAAATATTTGTTCTCAGTTTTCTCTCAATTACTGGACAGCCAAGTGCCCAGTCACTCCAGCGCCAAATCTTGGAATTGTTCTCGGTCAGTCTTTTACTCAGTCCTCATATCCAAGCAACCATTGTATCCTGCTTATATCTCCCAAGTCTGAAAGCCATCTCCACCGCTATTGCTTTAGTCCACATCCTAGTTTATTTCCTAGACCATTTTCCTACTTTCCCAGTCAGTCTTCCAGTTGCCTGCCCCATGAGGCCATCTTCCACATTTCTTCTGGATGGTCTTTGCAAAGCACAACTGGAAGCTCTGTTAACTCAGAATATCTGAGCCCCTTAGAAGGCATCTAAAGCTCCTCCACATGCACAAACAATAAAAATAAATAAATAGAGCTCTTCCAGGGGTCCATGCCTACATCACCCCTCTCAGCTGCCTTCCCTGCATTGCACACTTCCGTAGTGTAAATTCCTGTGACTCTGTATCATTGCTGGCCTCAACTTTGGTGCCTTTTGCACAGCCTCTTCCTGTGGCCTCGATTGCCTGCCTGCCTTCTGCTTGCCTGGAAAGCCCCCATGAGTCACTTAGGAATATGTTCATGCAACACCTGCTTTGAAGCTGTCTCTGACCTCACATGTTTTTTATTTCGGTATTTTGACACCTTCATTTTATTTATGTTCCATTGTAGTGGCTAGTTTCCAAATCTTTCTCTTCCCACTGAACTGTCAGCTCTGTCAAAGCAGGGGCCCTGTGATACTTATTCATCTTTGTATCCACAGTCACTGGCACTTCAAATTTGCTCAGTAAATATTTGTTGAGCTCAACTAAAATACCCAAGTCAGACACTTCTCCACGCCTGCCTACAGGCTTTGACTTTAGGTCCACAGCTGCCAGCAGAAGGGAGGTATGGAGAGGATATGAGTGTGTCCATGAAGTGTTTGCCAGGTGCAAGCATTCCGAATCTTTCCTCAAGATACAGATTGTGTGGTTATATTAAGCAGAGGGTCCCTTAAGAAAAAGTAATATTTTGTACAAAACAAAACCCTTGTGTTAAAAATGAGCTATTTAAATGTCGCATCACAGTTTAACAAAGTACTTTCAGATATGTTGATGTCAGCATCACCAGGAGGAGGCAAATGCTTGCATCTGTAGAAGCAGAACCATGTCAGCTGGAATATCTCTGAAATAAGGAGCAGGAGCTGAATACTGATGCTAGTGTAGCAGGAGAGCTTTTAAGTTTAGCAGTCCCAGTGTGGAAGCACTACCTGAGCTCACAGCTTTCTTTGGCTCCAGATGATAAAGAACTGGAATGTGGTGCTCATTCTCAGTGTGCTGAAACTTAACTTGTGATTTCACAAGGACATGGGATGAGGCCACATCAGATCCTCAGAACAACAGTAGAGAAAACAGGTGGTTGTACTTGCCCAAGGTCACACAGCTAGTAAGTGACATGTGAAATTTTAAACTCCCATGTCCTTTCTCACTTTTCCTTCAGATTTCTCTTTATTGGTCATACCTCTGCTCCATGATTCCTCTTTAGTTGTGTTTATTATAGATTTGACTGCATAGGACTCCAATCTTGCCCTGCTTGTGAGGATGGGAGGAGCTCATTTTAAGATTTTATTTTTAAGTAATTTCTACACTCAACATGGGGCTTGAACTCAAAACCCTTAAATCAAGAGTCCTGTGCTCTACCAGCTGAGCCAGGCAGGCAACCCTGGGAGCTCATTTTAAATCAAAAAGCTTTTTTGCCCTCAGACTTTCCAGCGTGTGAGTGTGAGAAATAAATTGGTTTCACATTTTCATTTCACCTTTCTGCCTACTTAATGCAGAAGTCTAGCTTTGACTCCAGGTGGCTTCAGTTTCACTCCCCTTTAGCTACTGGCCACTGCAGGGCTAAGGTCACTTTAGTTTTGTGGAATGTTTTTGGTGTCCACTCTTCCCCTGCCCACCCCCTCATTGCCTCCCCATCCATTTCCCACCTCAGTGAAAGAAGCTCAGCCCAAATGTGTTAAGTCCCAGACTAATGTTTCTAGTAAATTGCTCTACTTAGGATACCCCACTCTAGAGTTAGTTCCTACACAGCAGAGCCTGCTGATTTGGATTCTTTGAAGCTTAAAAGTTAGAAAAAAAATTATTAGACCTAGGCTCTTTGGCCTGTGAGATGTTAGGGCTTGTGTGGGGGGGGGGTGCGTTGGACAGGACGAACTTGCTATCTGATTCCAAAGAAGTGCTGAGAATGTGACTTTTGGTAAAAAGCAAGGTGAGCTCAACATTACTGTTTCCTGTCATGTCAGCTGACAGTTCTACGAAGGGTCCTCTTTTAGCTGAAGAGGGTTAATAATGGCCTTAGTCTGGAGCATCTACACTCCTAATTTCAGCCTCCTAAAGGGACTTCATTTTGTTAAACCAGCCAGTCTAGAAGTTTAAGCAGATAACTTCTCTGCTGCATCTCATTCATTTTTTTCAAGGGTTTGCTGAGGGCTCCTTATGAATTATACAGTAGGAATAGGGTAAGCAGACAACCATATTTCCCACAGCGTGCACATCCGTAAGAATGCCTGGAAGTGGATCAGGTACCCTGCTACTCATGCCTTCATCCCGGGAACACACTGTCAAAAGGAGCCTGTATGTGCAAGTATTCCCTGCGCGAGTCTCAGCAAGATCTGAAGTTTTGCAGCAGTGGGGATGAGGGCCTTGAGGGCTGGCAAGGTCCCTTGAAGCCAATGCAGAGGACTGGAGCTGGAATTTGCGGAGCGTGACAGAAAAAACATTTACTGAACTTTTTAAAGATGTTGGAACGTCTTAGTAATTACACACATTAAGCCCATTTAATCTTTATGATAACCTTTGAGATTCGGTACCATTATTTATTTAGGTTCTCTAAGTCAGGAAACAGGTACAGAGAAATAACTTGCCCAAGTTTACACGCTGATAATCTGGGACTTAAACTGAAAACAGAGCTCTTATGTTCTCAGGGCCAGTTGTCGAACAAAAGCTAAAGCAGAGGGTGTTTGGGGTTCCTGTGAAGAAACCAGTTTTCTGGCAGGTGAGAATGTAAGGAAGGTTAAGCCAGCTTTGTGAAACCTTTGGGAAAACCTCCAAAAGGCAGTGATGTGGAAGAGTTTTTAGAAAGATCAATGTGGCCAGGTTGCAGAATGAACAGTAAGGGCGACTTGTGGTCTGCCACGAGTCTCCAGTTCGGTTTCCTTACTCTGGGAAGGAGCGCCGTGAGGTGGGTTTGCGGGCTGTTTCTGCAGCAGCGTCTGCGGCGTCGGGCTGAACCCCAGCTCCGGGCGGGGGAGGAAGCACCGAGATGAAGCCGCTCCCGCCTTCCTAGAGAGGAGACCACAGTGTTCTGACCGCGGCGCGAGCTGCTGACATCACGCCGGCGCGGCGGGGACTGGCTCCGAGCTACACGGGGTCTCCCCGACGCCCCAGTGCAGCAAGGTGTGGCGGAAGGCCTGCGGGAAGCGC